TTCGTTGTCGACGACTATTTTTTTATTATAGCGCTATAAAATCCTTCTCGTTTTTTAATAGGAAGATTTATTTAAAAGTTAATAAAGACTTATTATGTCGGTTGGTTTGATTAAAGTTAAGATTTGTAAACAAATTTATGAAATATTAAGAAAGAAAAAAACAACAAAAAAAACTTGTTCCAACCTCGAAGGTATAAAACCACACTTCCCTTTTTTCAAATTTTATATTTTTATAGATTTTAAAATTAATAATAATAATAATACTAAATAAATAATAATAATAATTTTTTTCTAAATATTTTAAGCTCTTTCACAAATTCATTAAAATATTATTAGAATATGGAAGAAAAAAAATTTATATATCATTATTATTATTATTATTGTTTTTATTTTTTTTATTGGAATCAAAACCGAAGGATTTCACAATATTTTTTTAGCCTTCGGGGGTTTTTTTTTTTTTTTCGATACCTAAAAATGCCTGAAAATTTTTTTTTTATAAAAACACGAATCAACCAACAATTAAAAAAAAAAAAAAAAAAAAACGAGGATTAAATATTTATATATGAATTTATTAGCTTATTTATATATACACGTCTATGATGTGTGTGTGTGTGTGTGAGTCTGCAAACATTTTCTTCTCCTTACACGTTTTATATACCCATGCAACGTTGCCAAATTTTATACCTTTTTTTTCACTCTCTTCCTTCGGGCATTTTTTTTTTTACTCGAAATCCAATAAATTATAAAGAAAAATTTGTCGTTACGCAAACACAAATAAATATATTTAATTGGTCGAAAGAAAAAAAAATGGTGGCACGATGATAATGATGATAAAAGTGATGACATGTAGCGAAAATCGTTATTATTTATTTATTTCGAAAGAAATTTCAATGATTTTTTTTTTTTTTTGGGAGGGGGGAAGAGGGGAAAGGGTCGGTATTCACGATCCCTTAATAATCTTCTGCCGTGTCGTCTGCTCCGTTTTTTTATTTTTTTCTGTTAAATTTTGACGGTTGAAAGTGATTGATTGATAATGTGTGATTTTATTTTTGCAATCGGATTGTTATACAAAAAATATTGCGTTAAATCAATTTATTATCATTATTATCATTATTATTATTATTATTATTCTATGGAAATGATAATATAAAAAAAACAAGGTTAAACATGATTATTTTTCCTTAAAAAAAAAGGATTTTTATGTTCGATTACGTGTTTTGTAATTACTCACGCGTTAAAAATGACAAGTTTGCTGTTAAGGTCAAAGGGCGTGAACGGGAGGAGGAGGGAGGGAGGGGGGAAACATCGGAAATACCGTTGATTTTTTTTCTACAATTCTATGATAATTTACAGTTTTAATTGTTTTTTTTTCGCGGAGAAGAGGAGAAGGAAGGGAAAAAGAAGGGGAAAGATGGATCATTGTTTTGTTTTTAATAATTGAATTTGCAAATACGATTATTATTATTAATATCACTCGACAGAAAATTCGGGAGGGGGGGGAGTAAGGAGGAAAAGAAGAAGAAAAAAAAAATTATTTTTCAAAATAACACCCTGAGTATATATATAATATGTCTTAATAATAGAAAGAGTCAGGTAGGGAAAACCGAAAAAAAAAAAGGTTTACCCGAGGCTCGAAAGAGGTCATTGAAACGTTAACCTTTAATCCAAAGGGGGTTGAACCAAAAACCATATTCAAAAAAATCATTCCCGAGTAAAATATTTAATTATAATGGAGAGAGAGAAAGAGAGAGAGAGATAAACGTAGATGGAGGACAATGTTGATTTGCCCCGTAGTCATTCAGTGAATGAATGAGGTTCGGCAATAATAAGAAATTTTTTTATACATGAATGAAGAAGGTACGCGGGGGTGGAATTAAATATATACACATTGCTTTTTTTTTTTTTTACTCTTAACAATCTATCTTTTTTTTTTTTTTTTTTTTCGTCAGATATTATTCATGAGATTTTTTTTTCAATTCATTCGTATTCCGTACCTGCATCAATGCCTGCAAGTTTTTTTCTTTTTTTTTTTTTTTTATTTACAAGTAAATGAAAGATTGGGACGGGTTATTATCGTTTTTTTTTTTTTTTTTTGCCTTCTTTAAGGGGTTTAAATTTTTCCATTTAAAATTATTAACAAAAAAATTTTTAATTAATAATAATAATAATAATGTTTAACATTTCAAAAAAAAAAAAATTTAACAGACGACAGGTTGTAAATAAAATAAAACCGACAGGAAAATTTCAATAAAAAAATTATGATAATACATTTTTAAATATTTTTTTATTTTGTTTAAATACTGTCGGGAATGGGTGTTAAAAACAGGAAAAGGAAATTGCATTACAAAAAAAAAAAATGGCAAACGTTAAACATTGATAAGTTTTTTGTTTGTCAACGTTTGCATTTCGATTCTAACAAACTCTCTACTTATTATTATTATTATTTAAAAAAAAGAAATTTACCCCCCCCCCCCCGTTTAATTCGTGTTTTTGAACGTGTCAGAAGATTATGATCATTGACACAAATTATACAATGTTGTCTTTAAGCCATCACGAATAAAAAAAAAACAACGTCTATGTTTATGAGATTCATTATTATTATTATTATTATTAACGTAAACTATTATTCCGAAGGAAGAAAACAACGATGTGCAATTTACCCATAATTAGCCAATAGTAAAATTATACCGAATTAAATAAGTGTAATATAATGAATAAAAGAGAAACAACAACAACAACAACAAACGATGACAAAAAAAAAAAAAAATAAATGTTAAACCGATACTTATTATTATTATTTTGCATATTATTAAACTATAAAAATTTACATCGTATAAATATGAAAGTTTCTTTCTTTCATTCATTCATTCATTCATTCACATTGTGTTTAATGTCACCCCAAAAGTAATATTTGAAAACAATGATAATAACCTAATCATTATTTATAACATTATATTAAACTAATTTTAGGTTTTAACCGTAAAAAAAAAAAAAAAAAACAAAATGGAGGGAACGTGCGTGTGTGTGTGCGTGCTTTATAATGTGAAATTTTAAAAAGGAGAAAAGATGTTTAAAATACCGTTAAATTTTTCTTTTTTTTTTTTTTTTTTAAATTTACGGTGGTAGTTTTTGATTAAAAAATTATTTAAATCGTCAACGTTTCCGTTTATAAAAAAAAAAAAAAATTTCCCATGCCGGGAATCGAACCCGGGCCTGCTGGGTGAAAGCCAGCTATCCTAGCCACTAGACCACATGGGAGGCGATGTTACTCAATCGGTTTATTCAGGTGTAATGTTTGTTATTTGTTTCGGTGTTTGTTGGTTGTATTCGTATACGATACGTGAAGGAAATTTTCGTTTGATCGATACAATTTATTACGCGGTAATAAAACGTAATAAATAATAATAATAATAATAATAATAATAATAATAATAATAATAATAATAATAATAATAATAATAATAATAATAAGAGTTTATTTAAGGATCCACATTAAAACCATCATGAAAAAAAGAAGAAATTAATTCGTTTCACCGTTTGTAAATGATAATCATTTTTTTTTTTAAAATTCGTGCGAACGTTTTAATAACAAACAAACAAACAACAACAAGCTAAAAAAGTAACGTTTTTTTGTTTGTTTCTTTTCGGGAAATTTGTTTTCTTTTTCTTTATGTACTACAATTTAAAATGGCAACTCATTATTTAACTTTGTAAGATTTTGTTTTAATTTTTTTTTTTGTTTTTTTTTTCGCATTTCTAATGTTAATTATATTTGACCTTTGACCTTTTTCTATCCCTAAACAACTTGATTGTCTTTAATAACTTCATTACTTGCCCTCAAATCGTTTATCATAACATTTCCTTTTCTTCTTCTTCTTACCCGCGACTAAAATCATTTCATTTGTGTTTTTTTGTTTCTACCTTAAGGTATCAACGGGATTTTGTTTTTTGTAACAACTTTCGGAATCGAAAAACGGTAAAATGATAATAAAAATGATAATAATAATAATAATAATAATAATAATAATAATAATAATAATAAAAGTACAAAACTTTTTAATTGGTTTTTTTTTCCCCCACAACAAACGAGTGATTTTTACGTTTTGATTTTTCTTTTTTTTCATAACTTTTATTATTATTATTATTATCTTGGTTTTTTCGTCGTTATGATAATAGATTTTTTTCATTCAAGGATTAAGAATGATTGATTGATTGATGAATGAAATAATTAACAAAATAATCAATTAAATCAATTTTATATTTATTTATTTAAAAAAAAAAAGTTTAAAATATCTTTTGCCCTACTACATATACATACATAAAAAATTATTATTTACAAAAATCGATATATCGAATAATCGATAAATATCGAATTTTAAACCCTTAGTCTATCACTGCCAGCAGTTAAATTTTTCCTTTAGGGAAAGAATAATAGATAAGGGAGGTAGTAAAAAAAATTTATTTAAATAATGATGATAACAAGGGATAGGTTTTGATTGTCGTTGGTTGTCCGATTGGTGTCTGGTTGTTTGTCCGGTTGTTCGGTTGTCCGATCGGTAAGAAAATTTTATTATTATTATTTAATTTATTCGTCCTTTGTGTATCATAAATGATTTATGATCGAATCTTGGAGATAACGAAACGGAAGTTGATTCGATTCTCGGTTCTTTATATCTTTTTAATCTTATGCATGCAAACACTAAACATGTCGCCAAAAGACAAAAAATTGTCACGACGAAACCTAAAAAAAAAAAACGAAAAATTTTAAATATATATTATTTTAAAACTTCCTCTCTCTCTCTCTTTTATTTTCTCTCTCTCTTGTTTTTCTAAAATCATTGTTTCCGCATATTTTTTTTGTTTTTTTATTAAACCGGTTTTTGCGTTGGTTATACAGAAAAGTATGGGTTCATATCATTGTGGGCACAGGAGAACCTGTTTTTCTGATCTGCCCTTTCAACTTTTTTTTTTTTTTTGTATCCAAATTATAAAGACAAAGTTTAGGCATTGTGTTGTTTGTTGTTAATTGACGAGCCTGTTTTGAATTTTAAAATTTATAGGTTTTGTGACGATAACGTGATTCTCCATGATTGTTAATAACAAAAGATTTGGTTTTGTGGTTCTACAAGTTTACGTTTGCTTTTTTTTTTTGTTAATATGGCAGGAATCGTAATCGTTGGGGAAAATTTTTTTAGTTTACCTATGATTGTTGAAAAAGCTCCATGTTTTAAACAAATCAAATTTCCGAGTGTTGAATTTTGTTGTAAATTATTATCACTCGGAGATTCTCCCTCTTGTAAAACTCTCAAAGATTGAAATAAATTTATGTTGTTCGATAGACCAAAATTTGTTTCGTTGTTGTTCCCATCTTCGATTCCCGTGTCTCTTTTTTTAAGACTTTTCGTATTTCTCCAGTGACAGGGTTGACTCTGACATAATTCCAAAATAAACAGTATTTACAATCTATCATAATTTTTTTTTTTTTAAATCATAAATTTGTTTAATGGAAAAAATTTACCGGACATCTTCCGTGGCACATTCTAACATCGCATTCGATGTAAAGTGCCGGACTTCCGGTGAAACGAAACGTTTTCATGTATGCAAAAACTTGCGTTTCGAATATTCCAGATTCGCTCCAGGAACCTCTGAATCGGCTTATTAATTTTTCGTCGACGGGACAACTGGAACAAAAAAAAATCACCGTTCGAAATTGTTAAAAATTGTTTAAAACGCGCTCTAGCGGTAATACTTATAACTAAATAAAACTGTTTTGAATTTAAGTTCGTTTGAGTGATGAATAAAAAATGACGTTGTAAAAAATTGTTTACTTTTTTCTTTTGTTTTTTTCTTGAAAAATTTTACCGGAAACAAAATATTATTTAATTAAAACTTTAACAAATATTATCATCGTACCCGTATTGATCAATTAATTGAATTTTTTTTGTAGCTCCATTATGGGCAAAACAATCATTGACAACAATGTCAAAACCATCTAAAAACAAAAAAAATGTAATTGAGTTTTTATAACATCACCCGGTGAATTTCACACGATTCAAAAACAAAAATAATAATAATAATTCTTACCAAATTTACTTCTCATGTAAATAATCAGAGTAAGAGGATCACCGACTCTTACCGGTCCTGTAACTCTTGTACCTGACGTTCCATATCCATATCTTATCTCCATGTAACATTCCGGAGGGCTCAGAGTAAACACGACCGGATTCCCCGTGGCAACCCTTTAACAAAAAAAAAACATAATTACAACAATTTATCTCCAACGGTCTCATCCATCTTAACAGGAAATACTTACTCGACGTCTAAAAACGGAAACGTGACAGTTTTCCAAAAATCATAACCGTATTCGCAAGTGACTTTAAAATGTTCATCCCATTCTTCTTCGATCAAAGGATTATATTGAACGGTTATCGTGTTCCACATAAAATTTTTCTGCAGGAAAAATTTATTTTTAATTTTAAAAAGATTTATTTACGTAACGTTAATCATATAGCATAAAAAATTTTCTTAGAATTCTTAGTCGTCAAAAAAACTTACGGCTATGGAAGATGATTTTCTACTTTCTTCTGCTTTTGCATTTTTACCCAAAGTTCCACATCTGTTCAATTGTATGTAAAATTCATAATAATCTCTACCAGTGCCGTTAATGTAAATGCAATCAGGGTCGTAGCTATACCCTGAACTGTACAACAAACCCGTGAATGATCCGTTAAATCCGACTCTTATTTTCATGTAATCATCTTGACATTCGGCTTCGATATCTGTTTGTCGAAGAAAACAATCGATCGATCGATTAATACTAATAATAATAATAATTTAAGAATTTTTTGTAAACAAAACAATCGACGGTGTTATTTGTACGATAAACCGAAAAAGTCCTTGAACATTTCTGATACAATTCTAGCAACATCCTCCATTATTTAGGTGAAGTCTGAATTTATAATTTATTTAATATTTGCAACTTTTTTTTTTTTATTGTTTTTCACTGGAACGTGTATCCGCCGTCTTGTTCGAACGTAAAAAAAAATTTGTGATTGTTAATTAAACCCTCGGGACCCTCGGGACCCTCGTGTGTGTGGGTGCGAACACACGCCCATTCCGTTTTTTGTATGCTATTTAACATAACGCATCCATCTTTCTTTCTTCTTCGTGAAAACCGTTGTAGCTGACGACACATTAAGTATTATAATAATTTAAATACTCACAAACATTAGCGTGGTTGTTGTTGTTGTTGTTATTTTAATTGTTCGCTTGTTTTCGTGAGAAAGTAACGGATCAAATATATATATATATACTCACGTTGTACTCTTGTGAAATTATGTTTATGTTTTCTACTCTCTCTATCCCAGTAATCGATATGATAATCGGAAGGTACTCTAGGATGATGATAATGATTGACGGGTACGTAACCGGATGAATCCGATACTAAAACGACCTGTTATCACCAATACATTGATTGATTTATATTAATTGTTTGATAACACCGGGTTTGACCCTTTTTAATATTATTATTATTACTACTACTAACGGATTTTTGTTCTGTGCTTTCCGGTAATAATATTTCCGTTTCGTTCGACAAATTTCTACCAGTTTTATCTTGTTTTTGTGTAGTCTTTGTATAAAATCGTACGTGTTTTCCATCTTCGGATGATTCTGACGATTGTGAACCATATTCTGGATAATTGTAATTTGTGGGAAGAAGGGATTCGCTGCTACTACCATTGTATCCATCGTAAATTAATTCGGTTAATGGCTCGTTTTCTACACCTAATGATTTCTAAAATTACACATGTTATCATCATTATTATTATTTAAAAAAAAAAAAAAAAACTTCAGTCGAAACTTTACCGTTCGTTTTCATAACTAATTTTATTCAAAAAAATTTTATTAAGTTCTGGAAAATTCTTTTGCTATCTATGGATAAACATTTTTTTTTTTGGAAAAAATTAATCAAACGTTTAATGACCGATGATGATGATGATGATGTGTTTGTTTCCGTTTGTTTTGTTTTGTTTTTTAACGACGGTGTGAAATTATCGTAAATGATAATAATAATAATATTATTGACCAAACAACGGCTAATTAATTTTATTACGTAATTTAAATTGTAATTTTTTTTTTTTAAAATAAAACAAACGAGCAAACGACGGACGGGATTTTACGCAATCGTAATTTTTTATCGTTTCCAATTCAAAGGGATGATTGATTACGTAATAAAATTTTAAACGATGACTTCATGTATTCTGACAAGACGACGACGACAAAGACGACAGCAAAGTTAGTTTTTTTCTTTTTTGAAATTCTATCATTCTTTACCGCGAGTTTTTTAAAAAAAAGAAAAGTTTGCCGCCATTTTGAAAAATTAAATAGTTGAGCAATAATAATAATAATAATGGTTTAATTTACAAACAGGAAAATGTAACTTTGAGTAATTTTTCCTTTTTTACAAGATTTTTTTTATGAATAATTTTGTATGTTTTAAACGGTCGACCGAAAACAATATTTTTGTTTTGTTCGTTAAAAAAAAAAAAACATAAAATGGAGGCGAAAGTGGAGGGAGTATAATAAAAAATAAAAGTGGAATTTTGTAATTAAAAATAATTTAACACATCATAGGAAATGATGATAATAATAATAATAATAAAAACTCACGTGAACTATTACGGAGAATATGATAAAAGCGGTTATTGATAATTTCCTTAACCTGTAAGAAAAAATAAAATTATTTAAATAAATAATATTATGTAAATGTAATAATTTACACATCCGGTTTTGTTTTTTTTTTGTCTTGTGCTACGTTCGAAACAATCACGACGGATGAGAGAAAAAATATTGTTCGAGTTAATTTATTAGTAATTAATGTTTAAACGTATCCGCCGACAGCATAAAAATCTCACCGTAATAATTTATTTTTCTTTTTTTTAAAAGTAAATAAATTACGTAATAATAAATCATTTAAAATAATTATTACTCGAGTAATAATATCGTAGGATAAGAGTTTCAAACGTCGAAAAAAAATCTCTTATTCGTTGTGGCGGTTTTGCTAACGGTTACAAGTCACACTTAGATTATTACCATGTGAAAATTTTTCTCTCTCTCTTTCTCTCTCTCTTTCTCTCTCTCTTTCTCTCTCTTTCTCTCTCTCTTTCTCTCTCTCTCTCAATAATTCAACTTCCGGTTGTTGTTAAAAATTGTCGTCGGTACCATTTGAAATTTAACGACAGCAAATGATTTAAAACTAACATCATTCTCTTGAATTTTTATGGCTCCTTGAAAAATTTTCATGTATCGCGCTTGAATTGAAATTTTTTTTTCTTCGATTTATTGATGACGTCATTACTTTTTTAAAAAACCGACAGACGTAACAAACATTAAGGATTTGTTTAACATGAAGTGAACAGGTCGACGACACATTCTCTACGTTTTACCATTTAAAAAAAAACCTGAATGATAAGTCAATCGAGTGATAAGACTTTTTTGTCATTAGATAAAGGTACAAGAAGCAATATCCTACACAAAACAAAATTCGCAAAAAAAGGAAATACGTCATCATGTGATGGTGATGATGGTCACGACCAAAACAAACGACAATAATAATAATGCTTCGTCTTAATGTTTTGTGAAAATCAACGATGCAAAAAGTAATAATTTTTTTATAGCTTTTAATATAGAGTCTGAATTATAGTCCTACGTGAAAGACATTTATAGTCTATAATATGTAAAAGTTGGCACTTTAAAAAAAAAATTACAAAACAACCAATTATTATTATTACGTAATAATAAACCGCGAAAGAGAGAGAGAGAGAGAAAAAAAAATTATTAATTAACTTTAATAAAATTGTTTATTTATTTATTTATCACCGATTAATTTAATAATATTATTAATTAATTTATTTATTTATTAAACTACCTATTAACAATTATTAAAATTTTATTACTCGTAATAATAATTTTTACAATTTTAGTTATAAAAAAAAATAATAATAATCGCGACGATAAAAAAAAAATTATACGAAGGATGGAAAAATTATTAAGGCGAGCCCGTAAATATGTTATTTAATAAGTTAATAAATATTTACGTATCGTTAAATTAATAATAATAATAATAATAATAATAATAATACGCACCTTAAAACGAATGGTAATTTTTTACGTCCTTTTAAAAAATTATTCCCGTACATAATTTTAATAAATTTTATTACTTTCATAATTTTTTTTTTCTCAAAAAATTAAATAAAAAAACTTATTAATTAATTAATTAACTTATTTATTTATTTTATTTATTTACACGACGCGAATTATATGAAAAAAAAGAAAATTCACCACGATTGATAATTTAAATAATAAAAATACATTTTAATTATGTATCATTCATTTCTTAACAAAGTTCGACGTTCAACTAAATTACCTGGGTAATAAAACAAAAAAAAAATTTCAAAGTAATGAATGATAAAATAGGAAATGAAAGAAAATGCTAAAGAAAAAAAGAAAAAAAGTGGGGGAATGCGAAATGTGTGTGTGGGAAATGGTGGCAAAAAGAAAAGAAAAACAAAAAAAAGCGAGAGAGAAAGAGAGAGAAAAGGGGAAGAGAGAGAGGGAATGAGAGCCTTCACGTACGTTATTAGGGAATCGAACATAAATAGTGAAAGACATAGTGAAAGATGGAGAGAGAGAGAGAGAGAGAGAGAGAGAGACAATGTTTAGCTAATAGTAATTATAATTATTACCTATCCCTTCCTCCCTCTCTCTCTTTCTCCCTCCAAACTACTAAAAATTATTCAAAGATGTGAAAAAAAAGAGTTAATCGCTTTGTTGGTCATCTTGAACCAAAAACTCCAAAATTTATTTCCAGTGACGTAATTCCATGTAATAAAAAAAAAAAAATTTTTTTTTTTAAATTGCGCGTATTCCAGTAGACGACTTGAATTTGTTTTTTTTTTTTTTTTTTTTTTTTTTTTTAGTTTTCTGAAGCGTGAGAAAATTTTGTTGTTTGGGCATGTAACATAATGAAACAATAAGAAAAAAAGGGAAGGGGAAAAGTTAAGGGGAATAATGCGAACTTGGGACTTTTTTTATATATTAAAAAAGAGGAGAAGGAAAAACGGGATTTTAGAAATTGCATAACGGGCCCTGAGCCCCACGTGATGTGTGCCTGTGTGCCTGTGCCTGTGTGTGTGTGTGAACACCTTCGATATATAAAACATTTCAATAATGAAATGTTCGACTAATTGATAATTCAAGTGTCTAAAATGTAATTAAAAAGAGATTTTAATTACTAAATTTTTTTTTTTTATATTTTGAACCTGTAAATATAATTATTATTATTAGTTTTAACAAGGTTCATACGCCATTTTTAAAAATTTACATTATAAACTTTTAAATCTTTGATATTTTAAATAAAAAAAAATTTGTTTTTTATTCCTTAGGGATCGAATCGAAGACCTTTTTTGTTTTTCCACCGCCGACTTGAATGATAAAAGAATGATAATAATAATAATACACGGACAATATTTAAAAAGAGTGAGAGCTTCAGATATTAATAAGAAGAGCACGCACAATTGGCTACGGCGTGGAAAACTTAAAGTTGAAACGGAAGCGTTTATTACAGCGGCTCAAGATCAGGCATTACGGACCCATAACTATGAGAAAGTAATTCTCAAATACGCCAAGATGACAAGTGCCGAATTTGCCAATCCCAATCGGAAACCATCGACCATTTAATTTTCGGTTGTCCGATATTGGCAAAACATGAATATCTGGAGAGGCACAATAAAATATTTCAACATCTCCAATGGAATATATGTCGAAAATATGGAATGGACGGATTACCCAAGGAGTGGTACAACCACATTTCAAGCCCGATTACGACAGTAGCTACATGCACAGTTCTGTATGATCAACAAATCCATACTCTTTTTACAGAGTGAGTGTGGGGCTCGGTATGGATTCGAAGAAAGCCCAACCGGTATGACCCATACCCCGCTAAAACTCCTGAGCGCGTCGCATTAGCGCGGCTTATATGAAGAGGGGGGGACGGTCGTTGGGGTAGTACCTACATTTCAGTCAGTCCCCTCTTCGGGAAGCCAGAACTTTAACCGTTCCACACGTTTACTTATATGGGAGATTCGCCCTAGTCTCCGTTCCGCCATCACCTCGAAGACGAGAACGCAACTCCTAAGGACGTTCGGCAGTCCCTTTCGGGAGTGTCCTCCGGTTCTTCGCTAGGGGGAAGAGATGGGAAACTCGTCTGTTTCCTGAGAATGTGATCGGGGCTGGGGATTGAGACTTACCACATCACCAGAAAAGGGGTAAAGTTAAAAGTTAAGTGTTAATTGATCGCATCCTCTATCTTACGGTAAAACGGGATCGATGAAGAAAAGATAGACAAAGGATCGACCGGGGTCGTCAATCCTCCAAGAAACGTTAGGAAAGAAGTGAAAAGAGTACTTTCCGACGACGACTTCGCGATCGTCGCCGCAGCACCCAGCCGTCCGAAGAATCTCCGTCACCGTCTCATCTTCGTGTCTTCTTATTTCGGCGTCGCTCTGAGTGAGACGGAGCGACCTGCCACCTCGCTCGCGCCTCGGTTGCGGAAATCTACGGGTTTCCGGACGGGGCAACATCGAACGGGGTCGCTACTCCCACCCGATCCCGTCGCCTTCTTTCCGCCTCGCCTTCCCGCTCGTTTGCTGGTGAGAGACCGAAGACACGTATCTGTAAGTAGATGATTAATCCCCTGTCCCCCTGGGGATCACCGAACTTAGCGCAGGTCTGCAAGCATTCCCTGCGTTTTGCCTCTTGGTAGCTGAATCTCAGGAGCCCACCGCGACTCCCGGCCGTTCAAGAACGCACCCCAACTGG